GATGTCTTTCTTGTTTTCACTCAGTCTCTCCAGGCAAATGTTACTATAATATGCCAAATTATGCCACGACCACTTCCTTCAACACCCATTGCAATGCATTATTCATTAATCGTCCTATCATGCGACACTATATAATTTGAACTACTGACAATAAAATCAAAATTTTGAAAATGTATAGGATTTTATAGCCATTATTATTAAACATATTATTTGTTATTTTCCTGAACAGGGTTCTGAATCTCACTTTTCAAATTATGACATTCGCCAAAAGGAAGTCCACATTAGAACACCTTTTGTAAAAACAATACTTTAGTAAATTATATAAGTACATTCACAAATGGTGCCATTCTTAGATTATATGAATATTTAGAAGCGCCATGCATAATTTGCAAATCTGGTTATAGACTTTATTTTTGGTAATGACAAGTCACTTTACGACTGACAGTCAGTTAGTCAGTATCTATTGGTGTCGAGCCCCTGTTAATGACTCGATTTCGCGGATTTCACATAATCTACTGACCTACTATTGAAACTATCGCAAAACTCTAGTATCTTAAGCTAAATATGATATCATATTGTCCACCATGTAAGCTATTTCGATTTCCATCCTACCAAATTTCGCCGTCACCAAAACAGGCATGCGCACTGGAGCGAGTAGACGTGCAAGAAAAGTCAAAATAAGCTAACGAGCTATTTACTGGAACAGGCCCCGTCATAAGTCATGAATTCATTTTATACAGACTACGTTTACTACACTGAAACAGAAGACTACTCATATATATTTTCAGTTTCCTTCCTCTCCCTCTCTCTCTCTGTTTCTGTGTATTTTAGGGCATATATAATTTAAATATGCTGTAAATTAAAGGTAAAAGGTAAAGCTATCCTTGTAAGATGCCGTGGAGGCCCATAGGTCTGTGAAATTTCGAGGCTTCCACATTTTCTAGACAATCGGCTCACAGATGGCGGTGAGGTTGTCAGCCTTACACGCCGGCCGCCCTTTACCCCCAGGAAGATTCCTTCTAGCCATATCTGTTAGAGGCTGAATCGACCCCAGGGCCATAGTGCGGCTGGAAGGATTAGGTGAGTTATAAATTCCAATGACCTCATCTGGAAACGAACCCACCGCCTTCCGGCTTGTAGCATAGTACCGTCACCAACTACGCTACGGCTTACCCTCGTTGCAAGATAAACTTCATGCAGTTTATGATAACGTACCTCTTTAATTCGGAGCCGGGATAGCTCAGTCGGTATGGCGACTGGCTACGGGCTGGACGACCGAGAGGTCGGAGTTCAAGTTCTGGTAAGGGCAAGAATTTTCTCTTCTCCGAGTCGTCCAGACTAGCTCTGGGGCCCACCCAACCTCCTATTCAAAGGGTACGGGGGGCTCTTTCCCCGGGGGTAAAGCGGTCGGGGCTTGAAGCTGACCACTTACCTCCAACTATTGCCGAGGTAAAGAAAACGTGGGTCTATACATCCACTCCCTCATACGCCTTCATGGCGTAGTGTTTAATTAGTTAAAGCACAGGGACAACTTTACTTTTACCTCTTTAATTCACGTGTCGATCTTAACACAAAACACGTTTGCAGTACATTCGCATAGAAACGTGACGAAGAGAAACTAAAGCACACTTAATTTCTTACTGTAGTCCCAGGATTCTCCTCTCGCAAGCAGGAGGCTGGGTGTCGCAACAAATGTTTTGGCTGAGCTTCTTTGCACTATTCTAATGAAATGCATACAGAATTTTAGTCGATTCGTTAGTGGGGGGTGGAGTCCAGTTGGGTCCACTCGGCACGGCGGCCACTGATTGGCCTATTGTACCTGCCCCGGGTGATTATGATGATGGAGAATTTGGTGGAATGAAGATTGGCAGGGGAAACCGAAGTACTCGGAGTAAACCCGCCCCAGCGCCACTTTGTCCGCCAAAAATCCCACTTGACCAGACCCGGGATCGAACCCGGGTCTCCGCGGTGGCGTGGCCTCATTTTAGTCGATAAACCTGAAGGGAAGAAACCACTTGGAAAACCTAAGCATAGGTGAAAAGGTAATATTGAAATAGGAGCGTGGGCTGAATTCGTCTGGTTTAGAATAGGAACCGGTTGCAGGATCTTGTGAACATTATAATGGACTTCTGTGTTCCATAAATGGTGGGTAATTTCTTAAGCAGCTGAGCGACTGTAAGCTTTTCAAGAATGACTCTGTTCCAGAGAGTTGCCTAGGATTATATGTATGATATAGAGTACATCAAATGCTAAAACAGACTTAATATACAAATACGAAATTCACTTACTTGTGAGCCATAAATATTAGTAACCTTCTGCAGACCGAAACAAACTAGCCTCGTCATGAATAACCTAAAACAACATTCAGACTTAAAGCCCCATATATAGACAGGTCTAAGCGCATGGGGAAATCCACCCTCTCCAATAACTAACTAACTAAAGACCCATATAAATCTGAGCAAATGTTAACATAGAACGATTCTCTCGAATACGTAACGGCTAATCACTCTTGCACAGTAAGTTACTAATTACGTCTAATAGAGGCAAGGTGTTGTCTGTATTAGTGACAAGTGACAATTATATGCAATTTTACAGTTATAGTTCATGAAAACAGCCGGTCACAGTGGCCACGCAGTCTAAGGCATGTACTGTCTTCGCTCGCTCGGACGCTGGGATCGTGGTTTCAAATCCCACCCAAGGTATGGATGTTTGGTATGTGTATGCGTTTATTCTGTGTTTATGTTGTCCTGTGTTTAGGTAGTGGCCTTCTGACGGGCTGATCACTCGCCCAAGAAGCCCTACCGTGTGTGAAAAGTGATTATGGAACTGAATAAGAGGCCTGGGCCCTGTAAGGGCTGGAAGCGCCATTGAAAAAAAAATGATAAAAATAAGAGAAGTAATTCTCATGCTAGAAACTTGTGTTAAGCAGATGGTGCTAGGAGGCAAATGAAGTAAAACGAAAATTCCTGTTTTGCTTCGTTGGAGTCCAGTCTTCGCAACCTTTCTGACTCTTTTCTTTATGTTGTTATCAACCCTGCTACCACGTATAATAAACATACAGCCTGCTATAGTAATTCGGTTTTCGTTAATATGGTTAAACGCGGATTTTATTTATTCCATTTCTTGAAACGACACTTCGCACAGGACATCGTGAACAAATTTGGGCTAAAGTTTTTCTTTGTCTTCCAAAATTTGTATAGCTCAGTCGGTATTATTATTATTATTATTATTATTATTAGAGGTGGTGGGTTTCCCCATGCACTTAGACCAGTTATTGGTCCATTGTGCGTCCCCCTTTAATTTCTACTGTCGCCATACTCTACCGGTACTGGTGCGTGCTATCAGCCTCGTTCAGCCAACGAGGTCGGCCGTCGATACCTGATATTTCCCCCATCTACCAGAGGCACTGGAAACTACTTGGGCGGGAAATTGTTGCCTAATTTTGCTCAGAGGTCTCCTAGAGACACGAGGAACTTTTACGTGCCGTAAATCTACGACACGGGACACACGGCTTAAAGTCCCTCCCGGAGGGAGTCATGAGGTGGGAACGTTACCCATAGACTACGGAGGTCGCTAGCTCAGTCGGTATATTGACGGGTTACGGGTTGAACGACAGTGGTTCGATTCCTGGCAGAGTCAAGAAATTATTCTCCCTTTACAAGCGTCAAGATCGGTGTTGAGGCCCACCCAGCGTCCTATCCAATAGGTACCAGGAGCTCTTTCCCCGGGGGTAAAGCGACAGGGGCGTGAAACTGGCCATTTATCTTCATCCATTGCCGAGATCAAAAATGACAGAGCTCACATTCACTCCCTCACACGTCTTCATGGTGTGGTGCTTAATGCATAATTAAATAGAGGGATAATTTTGCTTTTACTTTACCCTTACCTCCAAAGTCACTGTTTTATAACTTCCCCATTTCACTGTGAAGGATTATTCAGTGTGTGGTTACTTGAAACGATTCGAACTGAAATGATAACAGTATACGATGAAGAAATTTTCTAAATACCTGTATACAAGAGGAACTCATGAAGGGCAGTCGAATTGTAAACTGAAAGACGGCTGGAATAAACATGAATATTCGACGCCCACTGTCCACATGAACTGGGTACAAGATAATCCCGTTAACATAAGACTGCAGGCTACGATTTAGCTATTCGGCTTGCCGAGTTCAACGTCCGGGGCAGCAGTTTCGCTTCAGAAGTACCGTACATGCAGCAGGAAAGAAATAGGTAATTAAAGTTTTCCCTGTACTTAAAAATTAATTAACCACCGCGCCATGAAGACGTATTTGTGAGTGAAGATATAAATTTTCCATTCTTGGCCAGGGAATATATGGAACTCAATGGTCATCTTCACGCCCCGGGCGCCTTACCCCGGGGAAAATACCCCCCCACCCCTTTTTCACCTGAGCAGCATTACAAAACTTCGTTCATTTCTGTTGTATATGTTTTTTACAAGCGGAAATTTGCAACTTTTCAGTACAAATTAGATACAATAAGCGTATTTCAATACTTATCTAAGCGGACAAAAAGTGGGAAACTGTATCATTAAATTCTCATTTCGGAAAATTCTCGGTTCTAAATAAAATATTAGAAAAGTAACTTTGTCCCTGTAACTAACGAATTAAGCACCATGCCACAGGGACCTGTGGGGGAGTGAGGGTATAGCTCCCCCATTCTTAACCACGACACTACATGCAGGCGAGTAATTAACTTTACGCCCCGACCGCTTTATACCCAACCGGCCGTAACCTTTGTACAGGAAACTGGGTAGGCCCCAGAACCGGTCTGAACGCTACGGAGAAGAGAAAAATATCTTGCCTCGACCGGGAATCTGACCCTGATCCCCTAGACGTCAAGCCTGTAGCCTTGTCATTATACAAACTGAGCTAATATGCATAAAAATTGGCAGTTCCAATTGTTCGAAGTAGTGACGATTCACGGCATACCACAAATTGCAACATGGAACGCAGGCGCAGACTGTTGCCATGTCATTTCGAACACTCTGAAGATAACTGAAGTGCCATAACATCATTGTGTTTCTGGTAGTGGTGGTGTGTGATCGTGTATTTACTGGCATTGTGCTTGAAAGTTTTTCAAGGTACCGAACGCAAATAATTAGCATAATTTATGCAGGAATTCCTTGACTTGGCTGAATAGGTTTTTTTTTCTTTCAAGTAAGATACTGCACTATCGATTTCGTTAGTTGCTTAGTTAAGGAGCACAACTAACAGGATTATTTTCATTGTTAATGAGGGGATAACTATTAACAGGAGGCCTTTATAACCATACGAAAAAGGCCCCGGGAATTATTAGCGTCCATGCATTTAGAAAGTACTGTTGATTTCATCATATTGTAAAGACTGATAAATTGATGAAAAAATAAATTGTTTGTTGTTTATTTAGATGTGTCATGTTTAACATTCGATACCGACATATGACACGATATCAATAATATTTTTATGTTGATATTTAAATTGTGTGTTTATACACAGTACTCGCTTTGGTTTTCCTTTTTATTTTTTGTCTTTCTTTTTAAAGATTCTTTTCCCTGTGAATCAGAAATTTAGGGCTTGAAATTTCCGCATGCTTCAAGGCACCACGCCATGAAGGAACATGGGAAAGTGGAGATATAGATCCATGCATTTTAACATCGATACTAGACGAAGATGAATAATCAGTTTCACGCGTCAGTGGCTTCATAGCCTAGGAAAGTGACCCTCAAATTTATATGGCAGGAGACTTATTGGGCCTCAGAGGCTGTCAGAAGGCAATGGTGAAGAGAAAGAATTAAACCCCGATTCTCTAGTGCTCCAATCTCTAGCCTAGTCACTGTACAGACTGGGCCAAGTCGATTTCTAAATTGTAATGTAAAGTATTCCAAAAAATATTCCCAAACGCAGTAATTCTGTGCGAATTACTTTGTTTTACAAGGTAACTTACGGAGACGTTTAATCTATAAACATTATTGTCACTTGGTGCGCCGACACTGACTACGCAATGGAGATACAGACATTGCTGTCAGGCCGTTCTTTTGCAAGACGTAGCTTCTGCTCTATGTGCTGGATATTGCAATTCAGCTAGCCCGTCTGCTGTCGAGGTTACTTAATGGTGTTCCATTTTGCTCTGCACATATCCACGTTGCGGATATAGCCACAGCTGTGAAATATTAAAGAAATGCATTTGGAAAATGTGTGCTCTTCGAAACTAACATCTGTTCAACCTTGTCATACGAACATGTTCCTTATATAGAAGATTTTGCAGACTAGTTGGTGTTTCCAACATAATATCAGATTACGTCTGTTAAATTTTGAAAACGACAAGCCTTCAGCTTTTCAAAGCGAATTTATAAACATTATCTTAAAAGGTTTTTTATAATTATATATATTTTAGCAATCAGAATATTACATAATTCTATAAGCTAAAGTGCTGATTAATCATTAGCTATACTAATGACTAGTGGCATGAGCAGGTTGATATCCAGCGAAATCACCTGTATAATCTATAATTAGTATCTATACATTAACTTAAGATTAGTTCACTTGGCCACAGTTTTTATAGTTTTGTTGCTTACTGGTTCCAGGAGTTGTTCCATGAGCTGATTGGGGTGGCTTTCTTGCGTATTGCTTCCTGTGCGGTTGGTACCTGTAGATCTGTATGTAGTGTATGATTTGTTACGTACCAGGGAGCATTAACAATTTGACGGAGTATCTTGGATTGAGATCTTTGTATGTTTGCAACATTTGATTTAGTTAAGCAGACCCATAATTCTAGTCCATATGTCCAGATTGGTTTGATAATTGGATCTTAAAAGTTGGTATTAACTTCGTCATCAAGCGACTGTCGCTCGGTCGGTATAATTAGCTTGCGGACTGAAACCACGGAGTCCTTTTTGTTTTTGTTTGATCTTTTATTACAGTCAGGCTGTGAAGATCATTGTTTAAAAACTCTGGGAAAAGTGCTAATCTGGAATTTCTTTCTTGAATAGTTTGTTAGTTTATTTAACGAGCAAGACTAGCCTGTACAAACAAAACATTGTGTTCTATAAGTTGTCTTGAAGTATAAAAACTCTTCGGTTATATCACTCGTTGAAACAGAGCTGAACCTTGTCAATATTCATGTTAAAGTGATTAAAACATCTGCCTTCGAAAGGGAAGGACAAGGCAAGAAATAAAAGAGTTTCGTTTTGCGGTTACGCAATAACAACTTACAGATGTTAGATAATATTGTTGATGAAGAAAGCAGTCTTCTGGGATGAGGTACCGTGTAGATGTGGTGTTAACTGACGTTTCGGAGGAAAGTATCGCCTCCATCTTCAGGGTAGAAGGAAAAATAAGAAATCCGCAAGCGAAGAGACCTCCGTATAGCTCTAAAGGAAGACTGTCATACCTATACTGCGAGTTTTACGTCTCGCACTCCACTGCACACTGAAGTTATGCACGGATGTCGCTTACCAGGGCCCTACCACAAGGGTGGTCTACATCTCTAGCTTCTTTTGGAGCTTAATTAATTAAGCCCAGGTTTACCTATACCTTACACATAGATCCTTTGAAAATATTTTATTCTTGGCAGGAGCAAAAAATTTTTCTCTTCTCCACAGCATCCAGACCGGATCTGGTTTTAACCCAGCCTCCTATCCAATGGGTAACAAGAGCAGTGTCTCCAAGTGAAATTCTGCAGGGGTGTGAAGCTGAACCACTGACTTATATCTAATATCGAGGTTAAGAATGCTGGAGCTATACCTCCACTCCCCATACATCTACAAGGCGTGGTGCTTTGATAATTAAGCCCATGGTAAAATTTACCTTAATTAAGCTCCTTCAGCAACGGTGTCAGCGACCTTCTTCCCGGGGGTACTGGCATGGCCTGGCACCCAACACACAAGACAACACATTAACTCTTCTTATAAATAGGAGATTGTTGGCAGAATATTTGAGCTGTAATTGCACCAGATGATTTTAATGTCTCGAAAAGCATGTCAGAGTTTAATGACTCTTATAAGTAAGGGCTCCTTATACTGCTCACAGTTCTACTATGTATATTCTGCTGAGATTATGTAGGTGGAATCTGCAAATATGATCGTCAGAATCAAATTTGCAAACAGCTGATCCATTGGTGTAGAGAGAAAGGTGATTACAATAGACAGCATCTCTGACAAGTAATGCCTGTTTAGAGGGCTAGTGTTGAGCCCTTCCTCTGCTGAACAAGACACAGATCACAAGCACGTCATACAAGAGGTTATGTCTGCAAGGGTGACCGTGATAAGTTTTCATGAAGATGTGCTTGGAATTGGAAAACTATTTCCAATGTTCTAGGAGCTCTGATATTTATCTCATGCCTGTAACGCAGAGTTAGGAAGAAAACTGCAATGTAAGGTGGGTGACTGAGAAGCACTGCCAGTGTGGCTGCATAACTGCAGGGGAAGAGGCCCTTCTCCACTCAAAGTAATGGTGTTCCTGATTCTATATAAACACTAGAAAAACAATTAGTTTGCACCATACCATTTGCAAGATGTATTCAACCATTACTGTCAGGGTTCAAGACACATATTTTGGGCTTGGAGGTAGAATTATTTGATCAAAAATTTTGTATTTTTCTCAACATCAATGTACCATTAGCTTTTGAATGAGCAGCCCTACACCCATGTAGGCTCTTACAATTTCAGATTGAGAACAACGGTTTCAGAATTCTGTATACTGAATGAAAATTTTATATGAAATTTTGTTAGGGAAAGATAAGAAAATTACATCCAGAAAGAAATTGTGTATACTGAATATAAGAGCTAACTAAAAGTACTTTAACCCGGCCATGGTAGCCGAGCGGTCTAAGGCATGCACTGTCTTCGCTCGCTTGGAAACCAGGATCGTGGGTTCGAATCCTACTGAGGGCATGGATGTTTGTGTGCGTTTTTCTGTGTTTGTGTACAGGTAGAGGCCTTGCGACGAGCTGATCACTCGCCCAAGGAGTCCTACCATATGTGTAAGATCTAGAAAAACCGAAGTGAACGGAGGTCATGGAGGTAGGCCTAGACCCACTGGGGCTTTAGTGCCAAGGAAAAAAAAAAGTACTTTAAAGGAAAATACTAAGAAAAATATATGACCCCATTAATGAGAATTACACATGGCGAATTATTTATAACCATAAATTTTAACAAAGTGTCTGATGAAACCAGCATAATCAAAGTGGATGTTGCAGGGAGACTGGGGTGACTGGAACATCTTTTTAGAACAAATTAAACAAATCTGTGCAAGAATCTAACATTCAACAAGCTGGAAGGCACTAGAAGAGCAGGAAGATGCCCTTAAATTATTTTGACAGTGATGAACATGACTTGAGAACTTTCAAAATTTGGAAGAAAATGGCAAGTAATGGAAAGTACCAAATGGAAGGTACCAGTTGAGAGGCATAATTGAGGCAGTCAGGGTCTGCAACAGGTCGTTCCATTAGTCATTGTGATGATGTATATAAGCACTAGTATGACTTATGTTAGCCTGCGCCATAGCTCAAGCGATTAGTCGCTGGCTTCCCATTGTGGCAGCCTGGGTTCTATCCCGGGTCTGGTCAAGTGAGATTTGTGGCGGACAAAGTGGCGCTGGGCAGGTTTTCTCCGAGTACTTTGGTTTTCCCTGTGAATCTTCATTCCACCAATTGCTCCACAATTACCCTCACCTATCATCTGAGGCTGGTACAATAGGCCAGAAGTGGCCACAGTATAAGGAACTTAGTCCCACCCCACTAGCAATAAAAAAATTACTTATGTTTACCCCTATGCATGTCCTTTGCTCCCAGTAGTTGTACGTAATTATTCCAAGTTAACATACCTCGTCATGTCTATGTTCAGTGATCAGTTTTTTTAATACAGTCATAAATTGGTTACTTGTTTCTTGCTGGTTTGTTGCTTCACTTACTCTTTGACCCTAAGGTGGATGTCATGTCAATATTAGAGTCAATTTTACCGACCACACAACATATTTTTATTGTTATTACACTATATGTTTCGACCTCAAGAGGTCATCCTCAGGTGTACGAACACAGCTGTATAATTACATGCAATCACATTCATCTTCTCACTTATTCGATCCCGTATCTTATTCAGGCCCACACTCAATAATATATCAAGCTCCTCTCACAAAACACAAGTTAAAATATTATTCTCAATGTCAAAAGTTAAAATTTAAATTTTGTGAATCGAATTTCAATTCAGATCACTAGTTATGCTTTCACTTTCACTTGTTATTCAGTCACTTCCTACTTATGCTCATCACTGTGTCAAATTCACTTTAACTAGTTTAATTATATTATTGGTTAAAAGTTCATGAACTAAAGTTAAATTTTATTATATTGATTGCACTTTTCACTTTTTGGAGGTCTCACTGTTCTTCCGCGTCCTCTGATGTTGCTGGATCTGTTACGGTCCTTGTCGTGATGGCTACGACATTCGTTAGAATGTTCGTTAGAAATGCTACTTGGCTTTCTACAAAACTGCAGAGCATTGCATCCCAGAGAATAGATTTTGTATGTTCTTATTGTGAAGTTCTATTAATCTAAGTTTTCTGGTAGCCAACCCAACATGTGCACAGTCCTAGGCTGTTCAGATACTAGGATCCCTGGATTTTAAATGTATATGATGTATGGATAGCTGTCTGTCTGCATTTTCCTATGTCTTGGACTTGTGCCTTTTCCAGTTACCCTTTGTAATACCTCGCCTCAGTAATAGTAAAATATTAAAAAAATAAAGCTATCCCTGTACTAGGCCGTGAAGGCCCATAGGGTTGTGAGACGTTGAGGGTCCCACATTATCTAGACAATCAGCTCAAAGATGGTGGTAAGGTTGTCAGCCATATGCGCCAGCCATGCTTTACTCCCCAGGAAAATTATTAAATTAATTCCTGGTACTCATTTCTGTTAGAGGCTGAATCAACCCCAGGGCCATAGTGCTGCCGGAAGGATTAGGTCAATTGAAAAAAAATCCAATGACCTCATCGGGACTTGAACCTGTGACCTACCGGCTTGTAGCATAGTCCCTCAACCAACTACGCACCTCGCTTCAGTACATAACAAATTTAAATTTTGTGCCAAAGAATAGCTAGGCCATTTGTGTGGCCCAGTTTGATCCTTGTACAGTAGAAATTGTGTTTGCTGTTTTATTTTCAGATTGTCTGAAGCTGAATACCTATGACATAGAGAATGCATGAAGGCAAAAATGGCATAATTTCAGAACATTTTATGACAAATTCTGATGATGAAGGTATATACGAGAAGTTCAACGATAGAAAAGCTTCCCTACAGTTGTAAGTATTGTGAAACTGTGAACATGTAAGTTTCCATATAGTCTTGACCACAACACTAGTTGGTGATTGTGGTAAACTTTACACCCTGGCTGCTTTACCCCTGTTGGAAGAGCGCTGATAAATATTGCATAGGAATCTGAGTGGGCCCAAGAACTGGTTTGGACATAGTGGTGAAGACAGAAATCTCTTGTCTCTTACAGGAATTGAATCCTGGTCATGCAGGCCTTAGCCTGTCATTATACTGTTGAAAAATATGGAGCTTCTGTTAAGAAACGCTTTAAGTGAAATCTGTTCTTCACACAAGGTATCTCATGTAACACAAGAATACTGAATTTGTTTTTGGAAAAGGCACAGTGGAGAGGACATTTGAATGTTAACTGCAGAAAATGGTGTTCCTTTTTGATGTCACATTTATGTTCAGATTGTCTTCCAAGTTTCCTTCAATTAGTTCATAGATCACAACATAATTGTCAACTTAAAGACCCCCTCCCACCTAATTTATGTTGACAGAGTTGAATGATATTATTTTGGTCATGACCTTGTAACCTGTTTGAGTGATTTATGAAAGCTACTTTTTGCCTACCATGATGCTTTCTTCAAGAAACCACTTACACTCTGTATGTGCTACTGAAGGCTGTAAGCTCCTCCAGGTTTATTGTCTAAATGATGAAAAAAGAAAGTAACTGTCTGGTGTTTGGGTATAAAGGTTCAATGCTGGCAATGCTAATGTCCTTCACTGTGGTTAGTCTTCAGTAAAGGCAATCCAGTCCACATTACCACATCATATTTCCTTCAGATTCCAGTTTTAAAGATGAGTTAGGTGTTGAAATGTAGGAAAACTCTCCAAAATTCTCCAAAACATGGTGTGTTTTAAATAAAAATAAGACTATGAATAATGTCCAGAAACAATAACTTTATTAATTCATTATCATCACAAACTTTTAGGTCTTGTTCTTTGTGATATATTTGATTTCCTGTACTACAAACATGTGACTCCTGAATTTTGAGTTATTAGACATTTTACCCTTCAAAATCAAAAATAAATCCGAAGAGTACTGTCTTCTAGGATGTGATTTTTGTAGTCTGGTGGAAGTTAGCCAGTGTTCTGCAGGAAAGTACTGACCACTTCCTCATGATCACAGATATGCTACGCAAGCAGTGAGTGAGAATCAAGCAGCAAGCTGTCTTTGCAAAAAATTGTACTGTTCAGTAACTCAGATTCAATCAAAATATTTCTACTTCTTTGGATTTTTATAGTGTCTCTTTGTCCTTTTCTCTGTTGTAAACAAATATATGAAGCCTGTTGCTAAATGTTGACGCTTAAGACATTTCATTTCAGGGAGAGTGTGCCACTTAATGAAACAACCAAGCCAAAACCACCTGAGAGTCCACAGTTCCAACCTGTAGCATTTTACAAGCTGGTAAGTAGATGAGACTCCACTCTTTGTCAGAGAATGTGGGATTCAATGACTAATTTTATGAAAATCAGATTGTCTGAAATTAACACAGGCTAACAAGTATCCACTGCATTTAATGTATATACATTATGTAATAAAATTATCTTCCAATTAATTTATTTGAAAACATGAAACTATAACCCCATGAAGTTTAATTTAAAATCATGTTATCACTCAGTTATGACTCAGGAGAGTTTAAGGATGATTCATTTTGCATATGTACATTCCATTATGTCGTATGGAATAATATTTGGGGGCAATTCGACTCATAGTAATTTAATTTTCAAAATCCAAAAACGAATAGTGAGAATTATTATGAAGGCAAGAAATAAGGACGCTTGTCATCCATTGTTCAGGCAGTTAAATATTCTGCCCTTATATTCTCAATATATATTTTCTGTATCAATTTTTGTTGTTAAGAATTTAGATATATTTAAATTTAATTCTGCTACACACAGCATTAACACCAGACAAGGTCTTGACTTACATTTTCCAAGTAATAAATTAGCTAAAGTGCAGAAGGGTGTACATTATTCAGGAATTAGGATATTCAATAATCTACCACAAGGCATCAGGAAACTATTAAATTATATTACTAAATTCAAACAGGCCCTAAAAGAGTTTCTTCTTGCTGGTTCATTTTATTCTTTAAATGAATATTAGAATGGAACACAAGGGGTCATCTTGGTTCTTATAAACAGTATCTAAAATTAACCTTGACAAGTCCTATTAACTAACTAAAAATATATTAATAATCATCTACTTTAGATCTGCATACACGCCAAATATGACTTTTATTTATTTTAACATACAATCTCTAGTTGTTTTATGAATTTATTTATTTATTTTCGAATGTATTTATTACCATAATAATTTTTAGTACACTTCTGAGAGAAGTTATTTATTCCATTTATTGTTCATGCATGTTAGATGTTTTTATAGTTTTTCTTTTGATGTGTGAGTGATGTAACATACATTATTTGATATTGTATTGTTTATTGATAACATTCATTAATATGCATTGTTTTTATAAACTGGATGAATTTTATAAGATAAATGATTAATATGTTTTCATTTAGTATTTAAGTCTTGTTGTAGTCACATTTTATTATGTTTAGTGACTGTTTTGTCTATGTTTTATATTATGTTATTTTGACTTGTTCCAGTAATTGGTTGGAACATTTGTTTTGATTTTTGACGCATTCTGTATCCAGTGGTGTGTCAACTTGTTTCTCGTCCTGTAATTGGATCTACTCGAATATAAGAATAAATTAAATTAAATTAAATGTAGCACAGCAATTAAAATTAAAAATAACTCATCTTAAAATTTCATTCTTCTGTGACTTTTTAATGTTGGCAGTTCCGATATGCCACATGCTTGGAGCGGTTCCTCGTGTTAGCAGGCCTGTTGCTGGGCATTGCCACAGGCTGTGGTGTTCCAATAGTAATCATTTTGTATGGTGAGTTCACTACACTTCTGGTAGACCGTGCAAGTGAAAACATCACATCAACACCTACTTCAGTGCTGCAGATCTTTGGAGGAGGGACAGTCCTGTAAGTTCAGTGTCAATTTAATATTTCCTCTCTTTGAAACAGATATGGCCTAAACAACGGTTTTGTTGTGATCATAAAATTGAACCATTTCAAGATAGTATACTCCTGACCTCTTTCAATATCACAATGAAAGAAATCACATTCAACAACAGAGTGAATGTCTGAAGGCGGCTTCTATATGAGTTCATTCACTGTTCAGAATAAACATAAAGTGTCCTATTTGAAAAATCAGTGCTGTCTCAGTTACTTCTAGCCTTGAATGAAATCATATTGATATGACAAACAACTTCCCTTGCTTGAAAATGCTGCTTGTTACATATAGCGCTTACTCAGAGAAGAGATTATTTTAAGTAATATGTTAAGAATTCACCTGGTTTAAGATAGGGACAAGTAGTGAGCTCTGTGAACATGGAAATGAACCTTTCGGTTCCATTAAAAATGTGAATTTTTTGAGTAGCTGAGCAACACTTAGCTTCTCAAGAAGGAATGAAGTTTTGTTAAGAATTCACCTGGCTTAAGGTAGGGACCAGTGGCGAGCTCTGTGAACATGGAAATGAACTTTCAGGTTCCATTAAAAATGAAAAATTTTTGAGTACCTAAGCAACACTTAGCTTCTCAAGAAGGAATGAAGTTAGTATCTAAGGAGGGCCGCACCATAGCTCAAACGGTTAGTTGGTGGCTTCCCACCGCGGTGGCCTGGGTTCAGTCCTGGGTCTGGTCAAGTGGGATTTGTGGAGGACAAAAGTGGCGCTGGGGCAGGTTTTCTCCAAGATCTTCGGTTTCCCCTGCCAATCGTCATTCCACCAATTACTCCGCAGTCACCTTCACCTATCATCTGGGGCTGGTACAGTAGGCCAGAAGTGGCCGCAGTACAAGGGACTTAGTCCCACCCCACTAGCAGTAAAAAAAATAGTATATCAGGAAATAATGCTTTGTACTCTGATGTAAAGCATTGAATAAATTCAATAACTGAAGTTGATGTTTGTATTTTACATATATCCCATAGTTCTAATGTTGTTTGTTAGTTGGACTATTGGTTTTACAGGCAGATGCATCTAAGAGAACATATGAATATCTTGAAAAATTTTTGCAATAAAGAGGTTTTATGTTGTTCTTCAATGCTCTGTATCAGGAGAAAGAATTGTTCTAAACTAAACAAATAAAATACATTCCATAATCGTTTTTATGCAGCTGTACACAGGTTTGCAACCACTCACCACCATGGGTGATGTAACAGAAACTTGTGTCATAAGTATCATAAGTATACTCGTAAAAGTGTTCGCGTGAAGAATGCTGTGGGAGTTAGTGAGTGGGTTTCTATAATTCTTAGTAGATGTAAGTTCTTCCTGTAAAACTGGTTGTATGTATTATACAAGTATATGCATTGCATAACACAAGAAAATTAAGAAGAGGAAATTGGAAATAAGAAAAACTTAGTTAAACTTAATGTCTGGTTTTATCTGTTTTTGGATATAATAACAAAATTGTTCATTTCCTTTGTAGAGTTAATGGCAGTCATGAGGAACGATCACAAGCCCTGTTGGAAGACTCAGCTGCTTTTGGAATTGGTGCTACTACAGTTGGCCTCATACAGTTTGTTCTTGGAGTACTGAGTATTTCACTCCTGAATTATGCAGCACAGCAGCAGGTAAGCTTGGAAGGTTTCCACATTTCTCAAGAAATATTTTGAATAATCTCCATAATTTTGCTGCAGAAATAAAAATGTATGTATGAAGTCCAGATTGACTCACCATTTATCACTGTATTCCAGGAAAATACTAATATATTTTAGGGTGTAAAATTTATAATTTTCCATATCTCCTAAAGTGACAAAGTGTATGACAAAATCTTGTATACATAAATATATTCTCTGTGAAATGACTTCTAAATTTTTTATTTCTAAGTATAGACATACATGATAAAACTGATGTTAAGTTGCTTTATATTATTTACACATCATGACAACACAAATTAATTGGCTATTTGTTATATTACAAAGAACTGCTGCTAAAAACTTTACATAATTTTCACTGATTTGTTGTTATTTTAGAGATATTCAAAATTATTCATATAGAGGCACTATGATTACAAGCCTGAAGGTCGCAGGATCAATTTCCATTGAGGTCATTGGATTTTTCAATTGACCTAATCCTTTCAGCCACAGTATGTCCCTGGTGTTATCTTCTATTTCTGTCTAAAAATTCTATCCTGTCAACTCATTCTGACTATACCCATAGTTATACAACATTTGCATTAGTAATCAAGAGTCATGTGATGGTTGACAGTTAAACCTTGTATTAAAAATGAAATATTTATTCTATTTTGAATCAGACTGGTTAGAATAGAAGAGCACTTCATACAACAAATGTCCACAGAATAATCATAGGCTAATACAATATTTTGTTTGCAGCAGAAATTAATTATTTTCCCCATTCATATTTATTACTTCTTTTATTTTTGATAGTTTAACATGCACAGTTGGCACTGTTCTCAATTTTAACAATTTATAATCTTGTTGGTGGATACCAGAGATTCAGAGGAACATGTTACCCTCACATTCAGGGTTGAAATGAGTAGGTTAAATAGGTACATTGCAAGAAAGTCGGTCACTCAGTTCCATGGAAGGATGGAGGAGTAGGAACTGGCTCAGGCCAATAGGAGCACTGAACATGAAATGTGAGTTATATTCACTTCTCCTGTTCATGCTATCATTATCCTGCACTGGGCATATTCTTTTCCGCCTCACCGTGGATCTCAGTGACCACTTCCCTTGTAGCATGACTATGTAACCAGACTGCATGCTTACCTTTCTTGTAGGAACACAAAGTTGCTCATGAGACCCTGTTACTCAGAAATTTTAAGCCTAGACGTTTTCAGAACATAGAAGACACAATATGAAGAGTCACCATTATGAAAATAGTTTAACATTTAGATTCCACGAACATTATGGGTGTAATTTATTTGTGTAAAATACATTTGTAAATTTATGACATAATACTGAATTATTAAATTTTCACTTTAGAAAAACAGAACACCTGTTAATTGTTCTGAAATGACTAACTGAAGAATTTTAATAATTATGTTGCAAGTAGCATCCAAAGAATAAACACTAAAAGAAAACTTAATGAAATTAAGGTTTGCAGTTTTATGAGAATGTATTATACTAAGTCAACAGTGTGTATCCTTTTGAGAGCACGAAATATGAATATACTGAACGAACAGTTACTGGGGTTAAGGATAGTCATAGAAACCAAGAGTTGGAGTTATGCAGAATAGAGTAGGAAGAGAAAAATAAAATTTGCAACTTAAAATATGTCTATATTGTTCTTGGAAGATATCAGTCAATAGGAGGATTGTTTCTAAGTGGGAGGGAAGGGAACAATGGAGGAGGCGTTATTACAAGATGATATATCCTGCTTGAAATGTCAGTGACTGATATTATGATGCCTGTGAATGGGTGTGGGCTAATTTGTAAGAACTATCACTTCGCAGATAGGTCGAGTGCGGTGGATGTTCCTGCAGGCAGTGCTGCGTCAGGATATGTCTTGGTATGATACTAACAAGACTGCAAATTTTGCCAGCAGAATCACAGAGTAAGTAGCGGTTGCTTTCGTTATTAACCATAGTCTAATAGTTTAATATAACTGGTCTCCATGAACCAGCGAAAATACTGTTCATTATAACGTTCCAGCACAGGATAAGAAGTTCTTTATGATCATAGTTAGTTACTTGATTGTATTAATTACAGGGACCTAGACAAGCTGCAAGATGGGATTGGTGAGAAGATGGGTATCTTTGTGTACCTTCTCACTAATTTTATTATTTCTGTCATCATATCCTTCATACATGGATGGAAGCTAACACTGGTGGTGTTATGTTGTGCTCCTGTAGAGATCTTCGCTCAAGCAATAGTAGCAAAAGTAATTATAAAATCATGTTGCATTTACATACCTCTGTCAAGTACTTGTGTGGCTGCATGTTTATACATATGCAGGCATGAACAGATTTTGTTTACGCTTCATGTCAATGTAACTTCTCTTCGAATAATTTCTACATTGGTGCATTGTTTTTATTTTTTTATAATACAATACAAGAAGAAAATGAAATACATGTCTGCATACAAGTTAATGCCATCTCTGTGAGAATAGCAGTACCAGTGCTGGAATTATTATACATTCACATTTTTCTTGTTCTGTTACAAGCTATGGATTGGGCACAACAAGAATATATCATTCCTACTCTATTGCGTAGTCACACATGAAGGGCATTATCATCATACCCACTTAAAGAGGTTGACATTTAATGGTTCATGTACCAACAGCCTTTGGTATGTTAACACGTGTAGCATATGTTAGTCCATACTACAGATTGGTCCAAAATAAAAGTAACTGAACTGGAAGAAACTGATTGATCAGAAGTTTCATTTATGTTATTAATGTCACTGGGACTCTTTTTTATATTTATCTTGATACAACATTATATGTTCCATGCATACATATAATAGAATCACGTTATATTTTGGGGGGGTCATCCTGTTATCATATACTTCTTGGAATCAGAAATTTGAGAATCCATTATGAAATGAAAGTTCAGCTGTAAGTGCATGTAAAAAAACTTAGAGCCTCAATGCTAGAAGTTTTAAATTAATTTATGAGTAAATTCTCAAGGACAGAAGGGATGTGACATGCACATATCACTGACAAAAAGAGAAAATGGAAGTGAAAACGTGTTTCTTTTCACCTCTTTCATATTAAACTTATTTTCTAACCCATATGTTGGAGACAAAACACATAAAGAACAAAATTCCTTATATTCATAAGTATTTATCAAAGTAGAAAATTAACTTGTTTTGAATACACTACAAGTTATTTAAAAATGGGTGTGATTGCAGTTTCATATTTATAAAGTTCTTTAAATCCCAAAAGGAAATGTACATTAAAAAAGCAAAGTTGTTAACACCACATATACACGGTGCCAAATCCCAGAAGACTGCTTTCTTCATAGTCACTGCCGTGAAAACCTCAAATCTTACATTGTTTATACCTAGAAGAATGGATGAGGATAATTTTGAGATATACATTTTCCACAAATATTCACCACACTTAACCAAAAATGCCATAATACACTTCATACTAATAGAAATATATGCAGTTTTAAATTTTTGTCATTGAATCTAATAACCCTATCCTTCTTCAGGTACAAAGTTCACTGACAGCACAGGAGCTAGATTCATATGGCGATGCCGGGGCAGTGGTGGAAGAAGTGCTAAGTTCTCTGCGGACAGTGGTGGCGTTTGGAGGTGAGAACAAGGAAGTTGCCAGGTATGAGCTCTCTGCAATTATGACTAAACCCTAGTCCATGAATATTTATAAACGCTTTCAAAGTAAGACTGCTTGTGTTACTATTCCTTTATTGTCTGGATATAAAAGGTAAAGTTGTCCCTGTGCTTAACTAATTAAGCACTACACCATAAATGTGTATGGAGGAGTGGATGTATAGATCCACATTTTCTTGACCTCGGCACTAGCTGTAGGTGAGTGGTCAGCTTCACGCCCCAGCCGCTTTACCCCTGGAGGAAAGAGCCCCCCATTCCCATTGGATAGGAGGTTGGGTGGACCCCAGGGCTGATCTGGATGACTTGGAGAAGTGAGAATTCTTGACTCTACTGGGACTCGAACTCTGACCCATTGGTTATCCAGCCCTTAGCCAGTCACTGTACCGACTGCGCTATCCCAGCTCTTATTGTCTGGATATAGGGGGTTTGAAATTACCCGCTCTTTGGGGTTGGCAGCTGGATATTAACTAGTACAGTGGTCATAGTACTGAAGAAATGCTACAGTGTGTAAATGCATTTCATGATGATGACTGTGGTATACACTCCTTCATACACCAAAAGTAAGAAGAAATTGCAAGAGAACTACAAATTTCACAGAACAGAACAGAATTTATAGAACAATTCAAAAGAAACTCTAAGGAACATATTCACAGGATGAACTCTGATGGAAATATTCTATTTTCTAATATCTGTAACATGAATCAGTAGTTCCAGTACTGGAGAGGATGGCAATGAGATCTGTATTGTTTAATGAGATGAAGTGCATAAACCTGCACCTTTACAGCAGTGCAGTATACAGCCAATAAACATTACTCTAGAAATAAATGTGTGGTGAGCACTGCACCCTGACTGCCTTGTGTAATTATCAAATATAGACATTGGATTAGAGGCTCACAGGGCTCCAGAACTGCTGAGAGAAATTACTGTTTCTACACTGAGGTTTGAAATGCTGCCATCTGACATTAATATATCTGCAGCTCCTATTGTATGACAGTCAATGTGAAGAATTTAACTGTATGCTTAACCATTGCTGCATAATTTAAATTTATGGTGTTCCAACACTATGGAAGAAAGCCCCAGCGTTCGGCACTGCAGTAACAAGCCCGCTATTGGACATGAGCCTGAGCCAGCTCCACCATCTTCCATTATCACAATGCACACATTCTACTTTTATCTTTCTACCTCCTTCTCAGTCCTGCAAGCAAATATTTTCCAGTATCAGACAAGTCAATTTAAATCTCTATTCTTAAACTTTATTGTAATGTATTAAGCATGGTAGGGGTTATTTCAGTTTGGTGCTTTATAATGTGTTATATATGACAAAGAGTTAAAAACTGAACATTATTTGTGTAATAATAAGTAGTATAACGAGGAATGCATAAAGGAAATAAGGCTACATGAAAGATGTTACTACAGAAATTCTAGACTGCTGTATCATGATCCATTAGCCCACGCCTTCTCAAACACATTCACACCCAGGCTGAAAACTGAACATAGCTTACTGCCTACTTCTGCTGGTTTCCTGGTTCTTTGACGCTGAGCATGGAGGCAATATGTTCCTATAAAGCATTGGACTATCTTGAAACTTCACAGAATTTTAACCCTGAAGACTAATCATCTCAAGAATTATTTTAAATACAGTTGTAATCATGCACAGTTTTTTGCGAGTCAGTGATTCACTAATATTTAATACAAGTGCGTTTGTAAAAAGTAGCTCAGATGGAGAACAATTTCACAGATATTTTCATGAGTGTACTGGGACATTTTATAGCTTACTGTAGGTGTAGAGAGGTTATAAAGCTATTTAGGTACTTGCTGTCACTGTATAGCATGATAGGGACCTGCAACACCATTCAGAACTATACTTGTTATGACTGTACAGGCACATGCTCTATCTTCCTGTAATTGTAAGAGACTCCTGCTCACAGCCTGGCAGGGATCTGCAGCAGGGTGTAGAACTCTCTTCTTGCTGATCAGCAAAGATTGGAGGGGTCACATAAATTTCTGTGTTATTTTGAAGGGTCACAATATCACAAAGTATGAGAATCCCTCCAACAGATAATATAACAATCATAACAATAATATGCAGTTTCCTGAAACCACTCCTTCAGTTTTGCCTCCTCAATAAGAAATCTAGCTGGCCTTTTATTAATACTATTAAACGTTATTTTCATCTTTTAGAGCTCTTCCAAAGTATTTTCTTACTCTATGTCCAGTTCCTCCCATCTATTAAAAATCGAATGTGTAATTCTTTCAGCTGTTGGATATCCATTCCTGTAAATAATTACTTATCATTTTATGTTTAAGGTACACAGAAAACCTTCGGCCAGCCACAGCTACAGGCATCAAGCGAGGCATGTTCTCTGGTTTGGGAGCTGGCCTCATGTGGTTTATCATCTACTGCAGTTATGCTATTGCATTCTGGTATGGTGTAACACTTATCTTGGAATCAAGAGAGAATGGAGACTTCGAATACACACCAGGTATTCTTGTTATTGTAAGTACCAAGAATATGATGAATGTGGTTCAACTGCCATTATACAGTAATCTCTTTAGATTCCAGACATCTGAATTATTGGAAGGACATTTTGGTTCCAGTACATTGAAAACCTTCAGTCATAGATAATAAGCTGTGTTCGGACACCCATATTCAAATCTCGAACTAGGATGCTGGTTCACTGTTATATAGAAGGTTCTGATTTCAAAAATTACACTTACCTATTACAGTTTCTTAAAGGACAACTTTTATTAACAACTGCTCTTTCTCAGAGCTTTTTTATAGCACATTGTGACATTTTTTCTTAAAGCACACTTCATCTCTCTTTGGTTCCAATATTCTCCTCAGCGCCCTATTCTCAAACACCCCCAGTCTGTGTTCCTCCCTTAATATTAGAGACAAAGTTTCACACCTATACAGAACCACAGGCAATCTGCAATCTACATCTGAGCAGTATCTGTAGTAAAACATGCCATTTACATATAAAGAAATATATATATATATATATATATTACCGTCTGCCATTTTACAATATTCTCACTGGAATACAGGTAACTTCAATACATCAGATGATGAGACTCTCAGTGAATGTGGTCATGTGTCTGTTGTTATAATATCATCTACTTCATGCTGAATTTTGATCTCTAAGTCTGCTATAGCAGTGTTTCTCAACTGCCAGGTCACGGCCCGGTACCAGGCCCTTGTCTTATAGAAAAAAGAATTTATTAGGCCATAGTCTGACAAAGGTTCAGGACCACTGTTCTATACTATGTAAAAAAGTAAAACTAAAACTATCCCTATTACAGGCCATGAGGGCCCATAGGGTTGTGAGACGTTGAGGGTCCCACATTATCTAGACAATCGGCTCAAAGATGGCGGTAAGATTGCCAGCCTTACGCGCCAGCCGCGCTTTACTCCCCAGGGAAATTATTTATTTAACTCCTGGTACTCATTTCTGTTAGAGGCTAAGTGAACCCCAAGACCATAGTGCAGCCGGAAGGATTAGGTCAATTGGGTTATTTTATTCACCACTGGGTTGTATCTCTTTCTGAACTCACACTATCACTTTCCACACAAGAAAAGGGTGAAAGTTGAGATACATTGTCCATTTTCTTTAAGCACCAAACTATGCATATTTAAATTTGGTGTGGAGGTAAAGTTGACACATTCATAACCTCAGAACAAGCTAGAGGTGAGTGAATAATTTCATGCTTAGCTGTACAGGGGAAATGCTGAAAGCTATATGAATGGCCCAATATTGTTATGAGCAACGTAGCAAAGACAATAGTTCTTAGATGCCTACTGATAATATAATCTAGTTTGCGGGCCTGTACTTTGTCACTTTACTGAACAATTACCAATGCCTTTACTCTTTTAGATACATACTTTTTTAAGTCAGATGATATGTCATTGAATGTATCCAAATGTTTTCATGAAGGTTCTCTTTGGAGTGCTCTCTGGAGCAATGAATATGGGCCTGACAACACCACATCTGGAAGCATTCTCACTTGCAAGAGGATCAGCAGCAGCCATCTTTGCAGTGCTGGATCATGTACCTGAAATTGACAGTCTTAGTAAAACTGGAGATAAGCCAGCAGGACTCATAGGTGACATCCAATTACAGGGAGTTCATTTTGAATACCCTGCAAGACCTGAAGTTAAGGTATGGATCATTTTCACTTCTTGTAATTTACAAAAAAACAGAAACCTTCATCACACTTCTGGCTGTACATATATTTATGGACTGATTTTTCAGTTTGCTGCTTGCCTGTCTCTGTGCACACTTTGCAGTTTCACTAAGAGTGCCTTTGACTATATTTTATGTTGCTGAAATTCTGTAAGAAAATAGTATTCATTTCAAGTCTGAAAAAATATTCTGTGACCAATGGTGAATTTACATAAAGGTTAAATAAGGCACAGTCTAGGGCCTGGAATTAGAAATACCAGAAACATGCAGCATATTCAGAACAGAATATCGGCTTTACCCAGTGTTCCTGCATACTACAGCAAGGAATATTGCAATGCAGTCTTGTACTGTAACATATTTTACAGAAATATGAATGACATAAAACGTATGTTATCATACTGGGTGATAAGCTCAAAGGTGCAGCATGTCCGAATCGGTGGTGTAACAAGGAGTGATATGAAGAAGGCCTACTCTATATTACGATTAGTTTATGAATATGTTTGATTCTCATCTGTATAACATGATCTTTCCATCGTGATCTATCTATCATTCAAATTAAATATTTTCATTTCTCCTCTGATTACTGTATTCCTAAGTATATCTGTTCTTCTATATCCTGTCACACTTTTTCAAAATTTCAATTAAGTGGTCTTTGTGTGCTTTCCCACTTACTTTTTAGAATTTTTAGGGTTCTGTTACATATGGCCATAGCTCTCTAAAGTTTCACTTTTGTATCCTTCCTGGCTTTCTTCTGCAGCTTTCTTCCAGTTGTGCCATATATTTGGTAAAAACAAATTTGGTTTTTATCTCTGGATCTTTATCATTTGTCACTGCAGTAATATATACTAAGTAACTGAAATTATTGACTTATTCAATTATTTGATATTGACAACCATGTTTGGTTTTATATGGCGAATCCCTTTAGAGTCAAGTCACCTTTGTTTTGGTTGTCATATGGGTTTTTATTATACTGTTGTAAATTACATTTTTTGGCTACATTACTTAGTCCACATACTGCCAGTTAAAAGTAATCATGGATATTGCAAAGGATTTTTCTTTCATGAATTTTCAAATGTTACCACTGTTAGTAGTTTGGTTAGGCAACCATAATAGTAATATTACTGCCACTGGATTGAAAATGTTAATCATAACAACTTCAGATGACTAATAATGCATTAGATTGTCAGTCTAGTGCTGAGTGTGTACTGATGCCTTGATGGTTGTAATGACATAGGTGTTACAAGGCCTCAATCTGACAGTGAAGAGTGGTGAGACAGTGGCTCTGGTTGGCAGCTCTGGATGTGGAAAGTCAACAATAATCCAGCTTGTACAGAGACTATATGATCCTTCGGAAGGAAAGGTACGAACAGAAACCATTCTTGTCCTTACATTTTCTCTTAAAATATGTTTTTCAGTTAACTGATGCTTATTCAGAGGACCAGTATTGTTGCTGTATTTGGCTTTTCTTAAGTAAATGACCAGTTATCTACTTTACTGTTAACCCAGTGGCTAATTTGTTAGAAATTTTAATCTCTGCATGCTCTTTCTTCACAAAGACAGACCTGTCCTCTCATCAGAGAGGGCACCCCACAAAAACATGACCATAACTGTCAAACAGTAATAAATATCTGGTCATGAGCTCCAGAAGGGGCTCGGCACCATGACTTACTGACTGACTGACCATCAGTCACCATGTGACCTTGAGTTTAGTTAGTTGAGAGTTGCCGTTGTGAGAAGTGAGAAGCTGGTATCTGAGTTCGAGTACAGTGTGGGAACTCAGAGGAAGGGGAACATCCGCTGTTGGAAGCCACTACCAAGCAGCGGCTAATAAAGGCTGAGAATACTTTATGTGTGCTGTAGTTACAGTGATCTTTAGAGTGCATAACTCAGTGAGACTGTTGTAGTTGTTTGCAGTTACGAGTGTAACTGTTCAGTAAATCCATTTGTCAATTCAAATCCTCTCTGTAGTCACTCAGTCAAGTGACAATATTTTAGTTTTATTTTTATTCTCAGTGAATAAGTTTCTTCTTCTCAAATGACTGATATTTACCATGTCTCTTTGTTTGCAACGGAATAAATTTCTTCTTGACCATGATATTTTCGCTATAAATAGCGATTTGTTATCTGTATATATCAATGGGTTATAGTAAAAAACTGTACGTAAAAAGACTCGATTAAATCCCTAATTAGTCCTACAGTTATGTATTTTAGGATACTAACTTAAATAAATTGAACTGAATTGAATTGAATTGAAAAAAATATAATTTCCATATTGAAGGCTACACATACAATATTACATAATTATTTTTTTATTGGAACTCTTATCTCATATCCATACGAGTATTTGTATGGAACTTAAAATAATGATCCTAAAATTATCTACATAGATAGAAATTAGACCAAATGCCCAGATCTTCTCTGGAAACAAAAGGAAATTTTCAGGATTCTTTTGTTTTAGCACCATTAATCCACACATTTTTCAGGTGTTACTGGATGGAGTGGATGTTAAACAACTGAATGTGGGCTGGTTGCGGAGTCACATTGGTGTGGTGGGACAAGAGCCTGTCTTGTTTGCAACAACTGTCAGAGAAAACATTCGATATGGGCGAGAAGATGCAACTCAACACGAGATAGAAGAAGTAGCACGAGAAGCCAATGCTCATGATTTCATTTCAAAATTACCTGAGGTATTTCTCTTTCATATTTTCCTCATAACTTCACTGAAGTTCTTTTCAATGAAGAAAATATCTATAGGACTTGAGGTTCTCACAGCATTGGTTATGAAGTGTTTCTTTATTCTAAAACATACTGCTGTGTAGTCCGGTAAATATCAAGTTCTGCTTGCTTCATACTGGTTTCTTGCTTGACTTACGCTTGAACCCTCAAGACAAAGGTGACTTGATGCTCCGAAAAGTCAGTTGACTTTCAACAGATTACACAGTGTTTTGTCACAGAAAATAAATCTCCTCAAGGAAATGAATAGTGTTTTAACTTTTGTCATTGGCCCAAAATGAGGATCTATTTTATCAACCAAGCATTTTCTTTTATAATCCAAAGCATGTCATGAAAATCTGCCAGAATAACAGATTTCACGTGTCAAATACTGAACTTCCCAAATACAAAGCAGAGATTCTAACTGTAGCAACACAATGTTTGGTGGAAAATTCATTATAAAAGATACGTGGAATCTTATAGAACTTAGTAAAATGACTGGCTGCAGATTGGATGACTGTAGTTCAGTTACTGGCAAGAATGGAATATTTATTATCACTACCACACGCAGAGTGGCTCAAGGGTTTGTTATCTAATACATACCACAGTCCCCATCTTTAGGATAAGGAAGCTGAAGCATGAAGCTGATCACTCATTTCAATCTAATGATAAAGGGAAAAAAATCTGATAATAAGTTTGCAGTTTATCTTGATGACTGATTTCACTAAAAGTTTTTAGCAAATTGCACTTAAATTGAAATATTTAGTTATGTTACCAGGGTTATGATACGTTGGTGGGAGAAAGAGGTACTCAGTTATCAGGAGGACAGAAGCAACGCATTGCAATAGCCAGAGCCCTGATTCGACGGCCAAATATTCTGCTTCTCGATGAGGCAACCTCAGCACTGGATCTGCACAGTGAAGCCAAGGTTCAGGCAGCTTTGGATCGTGCTTCCAAAGGGCGCACAACAATCATGGTGACACATCGGCTTTCAACTGTTAAAAATGCAGATCGTATTGTGTATATTTCTGGTGGACAAGTAAGTGAGGAATGATGAATAAAGATAACTGTTAAGTTGAAAATTGCCTTATTGAAGTAATTTATAGTGCATATTCTATGCTGACAAAATAGCTGGTGTGGAAATTTATGCTTTACGTTCAACAAATGTTTCACAGCAATCACTTGACAGAGATAGTTTGTTCATTTGATTTGGTTCATCCTGGACAAACTAGAAATATTATAAAAAGCTACTCAATTCCATCCAGTGCGACTGATAAAATGTTTCTTTCCTCCCTCCCCTTCTATCTTTCATTTTTGACATGTCTTGGTTCCAGAGACCATCTTCAGAAGGATTTATAAATTGAGGCAGAAACTACAATTACAATGTGTTTGGTCAATATTAATACATACACACATCATCATCACAATGCCATGAATATAAATTTGATACTCTAACAACTATAAAAACGTGCATGAATACATTAAAATATTTATAAATTATTATTATTAATATGTTTATAAGTGTGGTTTAAAAAAGATTTTGTTAAACCAAATTGGTTCTAAAAATTTTAACAAAATTTTTTTAAAACATGATGAAAAATGAGAAAAATGAGAGAACGATATTAGTAGTAGCTGTAGGAGTATTCACCATCATCATTGTGGTTGTGGTAGTCATGGTTGTAGTAATGATGGTTATGCTACTGGTGGTAGTGGTAGTGGAAGTAATTCATGCATTTGTTTACATTCTGTTACAATAGTAATATAGTGGGGAATCTCATATTTTATTTATTGCTTGTTAATATTCTGGCTGAAATCCCCATTTGTTGTATACATTAGGTAGTTAGTTTCATACAAGTCAAGGAGGATGAGGTGGGCAGGTCATGTAGCACGAATGGGGGAGACAAGGAATGCGTATAGGATATTGGTGGGAAAGCCAGAAGGAAAGAGACCACTGGGAAGACCAAGGCGTAGGTGGGCGGACAATATTAGAATGGATCTTAGAGAGATAGAATGGGATGAATTTGATAGATCTGGCTCAGGATAGGGACCAATTGAGGGCTCTTGTGAACGCGGTAATGAACCATCGGGTTCCATAGAATGCTGGGAAATTCTTGAGTAGCTGCAGAATTGGCGGCTCCTCCAGAAGGGCTCAGCTCCATGAGTAAGTAAGTAAGTAAGTAAGTTGTTGTTGTTGTTGTTGTTGTTGTTATTGGAGAAGGTGGATTTCCCCATGCACTTAGACCAGATATTGGTCCATTGTGTGTCCCCCTGTGATATTCTACCAGTCTCTATTCCCTACCGGTACTGGTGCGTGCCATCAGTCCCGACTCAGCCAGCCTCAGTTCGGCCTCTACTGGCTCAGCGGTATCTCGATGATTCCCCCATCTACCAGAGGCGTTAGAGACTACTGTTGGGCGGGAAATGTCCTGAATTTCGCTCAGAGGTCCCCTTGGGACATGAGGTTCTTTTACGTGCCATAAAGCTACAACATGGGACCCACGGCTTAAAGTCCCTCCCGGAGGACTTTTTACCTGAATTTTTCCGCCCTTAAAAATTCCACAACCTCCGCCAGGTTTGAACCCGTGTACCTTGAGTCATGAGGTGGGAACGTTGCCCCTAGACTACGGAGGCCGCTAAGTAAGTAACTTAGTTTTCATATTGTTTTTATGGTCCATGTGCTCAGACACTGTCCCAGTTATTACACATATACATATACACATATTTGTATATCAAAGAGCTCTTTCCACTATTCCAGCTTGCTTTCATTATTTCCTAGTAACACAACTGCAGGAAGGTTACAGAACAAACATTTACTATCACCTGCCAACCTTCTTCCTCATAGATTATTCCAATTTTCCAACATGAAGAAAAACTACCTAACTATCAAAATTACGAACATAACCATTAGAGATTAAACACGGTTTAATTACGGCATTAAGCTCTAAGCAAAAACAAAAGAACACAGAAGTGAGCATGCATATGTTGAGTGACTGTGACTTTTTCATAGTTGAGTAAAATTCATCCAGCATTATGATTTTCTTGAAACTCTTATGGCTGCTAAATATAACAGAAGCTGAACACCTCCACTGTCTTTTGTTGGCATGACTGCTGAGATATGCATGAACAGGCTCCAACCTACCTACCACAATGTCACTGTATTTGTTCTTGTTCTGGAACTTCTTGAAGTTGCTATATATATTCAACATTTCAGTTTTAATCAGACTTTTCTTTAATAACTATGCACCATCATCAGAATAACAACATAGGATTTATTATGAATCACTGCTCTTGCTTTAGCATACAATATTATATGTGTATTTAACTTTCTCTTCTAAATTGTGACATATTTTGATCTGATAAAAAAGTCTTTGAAATTTCATGTACACAAATTTTAGGTGGTGGAGCAGGGATCTCACAGTGAACTACTCGCCATTCAAGGTTACTATTATTCTCTAGTCACTGCTGACCCAACTATGACTCAAGGTAAGCCAATACTTCTTTCTGTAATTATCATACCTTCCTCTTTCAATGTTCTGAGTTATATTCTTCGTTTAAGTCATAATCAATGCTATGATTACTGTCTCTTATTCAACTTAAACTTCTTAATTTCAGTCAAAATTTTAAGTACAGCAATTGTGTGTACTGGAGTACCAGTAATCTTCCAGATTTGTGTTTGGGAGAAATATTGTTTGAAATTAACTATTTAAAGCACATTGATTATTACCTATAACACCTGTTTTAACAATAAAGGACTCAGACTTTTGGCCACAGAGTATTTTCATGGATTCCACATTATTCTGAAAATAAACAGTGATTTTTTTCGCAAAACAGCATTAACCAGTTGGTCTTTATGATACAGACACTGTATGTTTGCTCTGAAATATTAACAATATTTTTAAATATTATTTAAAAGAAATCTACACTTCAAAGAGTTCACCTGAAATAACATTCTTCCCAGAAACTGAGACAGATCAGTCATGCAATAACTAGCGTACAGGTTCTGAGACTAGGAATTCAATTTCTGGCAGAGGCAGTGTCCAGACTGGATCTAGATTACCCCCAGCCGCCCATCCATTGGGTACAGGGTACCTTTCCCAGCAATGAAGCAGCTGGGTCATAAACCTGATTGCTTACATCCATTTACTACCAGGTTAAGAATGTGGAGCTGTACTTCCACTCCCCCATGCGTCTTCATGGCTTCAAGATTAATTAAACACAAGGACAACATTACTCTTGACCTTCATTACAGGCTGTTCCCAACTGATGACACTAATATGTTCTTGAAAATTGCACTGTAAATCTAATTATCTTTAGGTGAATATCAATTTGCCATAAATTTGTATGTTATAAATTGATATACTTTCCAGGATCTCAGAAAATATGAACCAATCCTTATTTAGGCTATAAGTGAATTGTTTAAAAACAAATTAGTTATGTAAATTGTGTTATAAAAATTTTTAAGAATTCAGACTATCAGTAGATTAACCCCTAATATACTTACATTTTGATTGTCATTTTAGGAATTCAAGATGTCAAAAACTGTGTGAAAGCATGGATGAAATGCATCATACGAATAAATATCAACTAAAAATATTCAGAGGAAATGGATTTGGAACACTTAAAAACCTCAAATATCAGATGATAAATATCATCCGTGGTACAGAATCAGATGTTGATTTCAAGGTACCACTGTGCTATTGTCATATGTCTGGGTATGTCACAAGTCAGAAACAGTCTGTATATGGCCTGACTGTGGTCATACTTTTGGAGCTGAGAGCAGTTTCTGGCATCAGAAGCTAACAATTCTGACTGACAGTACTGGGTAGGGTTATAGAATTTTCTCTAGTGCCAGCTGTTATGTTCTCAGGGCCGAATTACCCATACAGGCCAGCTGATAAGACTGCAAAATTAAGATTTGTATAAATGGGTTAGGATGTTGGAAATCATTGAAATCCTGAGATATTTGATGTTATGGCGGTGGCTGTGAAGAATACTAACTTCTGGAATATGATATTGTAACGTGTTTAGCCACTGAAGACGGCGTTCAGATTGTTAATTGGTTTATTTAACAACCTACAAGTCATAACTACAATTAATTATAACACTGTTGCAGGGTTTCACACTTTATAACCCTATTCGCAATAATCTCTTCACACTGTTGCGGGGTTTCACACTTTATAACTCTATTCGCAATACTGTGTTCACTCTATCTTCAGTAGTCTACACATTTACAATAGGGGAGCTATGTATCACTGTATCACACACTCCCAATTACACAATTACACACACGTCCGGTTCTTCTTTCCACGACTGCTGCTATACTCCAACTGTGTCACTCCTGATCACACACTAACTTCCAACTCAACTCTAGCGGCTGGTAGAAGTTTAAAATGCCTGTAATCTTCTACTATACTACATAGCATCAAAAACGCCTGTAATCTTCTACTATACTACATAGCATCAAATCCAAGAAGATAGTACTCTTCATCATAATCTTGATTAAAATGGTGCAGGTAAAGATGGTGTTCATTCTATTATTACTTTAGACGATATTTCTCTGTCTAGAGTAATGTTTACATGTACAGAATATGTTCATTACGTTCTTGTACAGGTGCTGGAGATGGTGAGACTCAGCAGCAAGACAATGGGAATGCCAAAGGAATTCTAGACCTTCTTTCATCTAGACGACAGTCCACGCGTTCTCGAGCTGAAAGCAACAGGGACCAAGCAAAGACACCTCTCATAGAGGTGAGAGTATTCTCATTCTAAGGCCGCGCCATAGCTCAAGCAGTTAGTCGCTGGCTTCCCGGGTTCGATCCCGGGTCTGGTCAAGTGGGATTTGTGGTGGACAAAGTGGCGCTGGAGCAGGTTTTCTCCGAGTACTTCGGTTCCCCTGCCAATCTTCATTCCACCAATTGCTCCACAATCACCCTCACCTATCACCTGGAGCTGGTACAATAGGCCAGAAGTGGCCGCAGTACAAGGGACTTAGTCCCATCCCACTAGCAATAAAAAAAATCTCATTCTACATACTGATGTTGTAACTGCATAACAGAAACCAGAGTGTCAGCAGCACAAATCCGAACCCAATTACTGGACATTACCATGAAATAGTTCAGTTCAGATCACCACCTCAAACTTTATTGCCATTATCATCATAAACATCACCACCATGATCAACATTAACAACAACAAAATCACTGATATATTGGGTTTTTGGACTTCATCCATCATCCTGGTTTTTAAGATAACTAATAAAAACACGACGTTTCGGAAACTGGATCTGTTTCCGTCCTCAGGTGAAGGAAAACACCTGTTCCGTTGGGTCCGTTAGAAAGAGCTAGGCTCAATCACTGGACAAACCGATGTCAACAACAAAAACATTTTCACAGATAGGATCCAATGGCTGTTCCATTCCCTCTAAGATTTGCTTCATTCATTTTATTTTTTATTGCTCTTCTGACATACCAGTTTTCCTCACAGACCATAATTTAATATCCAGGGGATATGATTTTCTTCTGTCTTTTCAACATATTCACACCATTTATGTCTTTAGTTCATATGTATTTAAGGAAAACCATTTATTTGAATTCAATCTCTTGTTATTTTCTGTTACTGGCTGAACTCCAATCCATTTGAAGGACATGTCTTCTTAGTGGCTTATACTGTGTCATTTGAACATTTTTAAGTACTATATTTTTTATCTTTCTGTTATTGCACCATTTGTCCTCTCGAATTTTACGTGTATTAACTTACTCTCTTTAGCCAGACTTTTGAGTAACTAGATGTACTCACTTCATCTACTGTTTTATGCTCTCTTATCACTTTACTGACCTTGATATATTTTAGTATAATCCTCAGCCTTCTTTGGCCTATTAGAAGGCTGTCTTCTGCATGATTTCCCCACCAAACAGTATAATGGTCTTCAGTGTATTAAATAGTGTCTGCTATTCTGAACATGTTAAATGAATTAATGGTTTGTCTTGCATTGCAGGAAGAGCAGTATGATGCCCCACTGAGCCGAATCATTGCTCTCAACAAGCCAGAGTTGTTGCATGTCCTGGTTGGTTGCATTGCTGCCACTGCAGTTGGATGTGCTCTGCCACTGTTTGCAATCCTGTTTGGTGAGGTCTATGGAGTAAGTTCTACACTACTAAAAGACTTACACTTCAAAAGTGGGGGCATGTTATCAGGAACATTATCCATCAGTTTGTATGTGTGCATGGCTTTTCTCTTTGCTGGGAGCTAAAACTTCTATGTGATTCTTCATTGTTAATCACTCTATCGAAAGAGCCCATGAGTTGCTGTTAGGTAAATACCCATTTTGAATATTTTAAGAAAAGCTATTTTTAATTTAACACATCTGATATCAGCGGTGGCAGCTCTCTCTCAAGAGAATTCTCCGTCCTAGTGCCAGAAATATTACGTGAGTCCTTACTCACTTCTCCCAGGGAGAAGCCAGAACCGAAATTAAGTATTGTAGTTATTTGTTGACAGCATGATAAAATGTTTAAGGCTATTTATTTGGACTTTATCCAACATCTTAGTTTTTAATAAAAAACCATAACTTTTTCAAAATAGAACTCATTTATAAAACACTGTGGCCTTTAAATTAAAAACTAAGACAACTGACAAAGCCTAAAACAATAGCCGTAAACACTGAGACCAGAGATTTTTCTTCCTTCTTTCTCGCATTCAAAAAATGTTTAATTCAAAAGTATTTTGAAGGAGACTGTGGACCAGATATTCATATTTTATGAAGGATATGTTGAATATTACAGAGATGTGTTGTATGCTATAGCTTTAGTTAACAGTGCATATCTGATTTCTTGTGTATTATGTTTTACAGGAGTATCTGTTGCATATACAAAACAGTGGCTGTACTTTTAAGGAAATCAATTCATATCTCTACTTAAGTTTTGTTCTTTCAGTTTATGGGATATTTTAATATAATCCAACTGAAAACTGTTATTCTTTTTATGATTGAAAAGTAACTTACTCCATTTGGTAACTTGATGGCTCAGACGGCTTCTGTATAAGGCTTTTAGTTAGAATGAAAACTTGAATTGAAAAAAAAAACAGAATTAGTATATAAATGTAATATTGGTCACTGTTACTTATTGATAGGTACTGTCTATACAAGATCCAGAGGAGATACAAAGTGAAACCAATTGGTACTGCATCTTGTTTGTGGTGATTGGCGTTGTCACAGGACTTGGAATGTTTCTTCAGGTAATAAATATCAAATATTTTATTGCATTTTTCCTAATCTTCATATCTCCTTTCTTCCATGAAGATGGGAGCTTACAGCCAGTCCCATTTTGAGTTTTTAATTTATCAACTACCATCAATACTGTTCACATGAATTTTTAATTTAACCTTTAAACGCCGGACTTCGAAATAGTGGTAAACTTGAGCTGGCCGGAGTTTATTTAAATGCCCACTGCTGGTGCTCGTTTAAATGTCCGTTGCTCCCTTCCGTTTAAATGTCCGTTCCTGTTAGGCGGTTAATCAATTTTAAGCGTTGTGTTTAAAAATGCTGTATCTGGCACAATTTTTATGATAAATGGATGGTATTAACTTTGTTTATATCAGCAAAGAACATAGTGTCGCATATTATAACGGAAAATTTGAAATTTTTAATACAAAGTGTTATACTCTATTTTCAATTTTTTGTGTTTTAATTTTGATGCGTACTGCAAAAATTGTTTCCCAGTTCTTCACAGAGTTGTTCTGCATTATAAATTCATTTCTGTTTGTAACACTTGACAAGTTTTAGCAGTCCCTGGTGTCATAAAACAGATGGAAGCAATAAAATCATTTGGTCTTCTGCTAGCACTGCTTACACCCTTCGGATTTTCGAATCTTTGACTGAAGGTCAGAAGAATGAAAGAATGGCTATTCAAGAGAAAGCTAGAGGGGTCCCTTCTTCAGTGCTAAAACCTTCCGTTAGAACTGCAAAAGCTTATTGCCCCTTCTATTTGAGTGAACAGACAGCTGCATCGTGGCTGAGATACAGAGCGCGATCTGTTTTGTGTGCGTTCGTAGTGAAATTGAATACGGTAGTTTTATTTGAAACTGTATATACATCAAGCAGGTAACAACAAAAAAGGTATGTACATCAAATTTTACAATATATTTTTAACATACCTATCTGCAGAATCTGCAATAAAATTACTGGATCGTGGATAAGTTTTGGCATAACTCATACGTATATTTTTATTTGCTGTTGTTCAGTTAGGTATTATTTTAATTCCTCTATTAGGGTTTTACTCAAGTCTGTCTGGTAATTACTACATTTGAAAATAAATACTGAGGAATGTGCATGCGCTTCTACTAGCGGCCTGTGCGCGCGCTTCCACTAGCGGAGTTTAAATGCCTGACTGGACAAAACGGGGTACTTTGGCCACGACGACCTTACTCATGACTGGCACAAACTGGGCACTTCGGCACTTAAAGGTGGGACAATGTGGTTTACTGAGCAGGTGTCTGTATTAGTAAAAATCCTGACTTATATTCAAGAGGTATCTGGTTCAAATCTTAATTGTTTTTTCATTCTTTTCATTAAGATAGCAACATCATACACATTGCAACTCAAGTGAGTGTTGACTATAATCTTCCCATTCAATTTCATGCATTATTGAAGCATCTTAGCTAGGACACCAGCTGTCCTGACTGAGAAGATTAATGAATTTTCTTAGTCCCTCTAGGCAAATACCAGAACAGTACCTCAGATTATGCCTTGGCTGCTTCCTTCCACATCCTTGCCAATTCATTATTCATTGACCATCCTACCATTCAGTGCTATCTAGTCAGAGTTACTAGCAGCATCACTAAATAAATCATAAATAAATACAAAACAATATTGTTAAATAACTGAAGACTCACTCAATGATGGGACAGGTTTCTATGAACTCAATGATGAAATTTCAAGGTTTTGAATAATATTCAGCTGAATAATTATCAGTTGCTTAGAAAAGAAAGTCAGTGCACAATATGTCTGACACTGGGATTTATGGTGTTTAGTTTTACATATATTTATTTATTTATATCATTCATCACATCATAATTAAATTATGAAACATACAATATAGATGTATGAGGTAGTTTATGTTGATAATATTTTCAATACAACTGCTTTCTTGGAAAATATTATGAAATATGAATTTAGGACAAACTTTTCCCCTCTTATTAATATTTCACTGTTATGTGAATAATGACTGGTATATGTTAAATGTTAATAATTTTATATCACTGAAATAAGTTGTTTTCCTCAAAACTGTTATTTGAACACTGTGAATATGCAGTACAGTATTACTAGCAGCTTCAATGCCTTTACAGATGCACTTATTCAGTTTGGCTGGAGTTCGCCTCACAGCACGTCTGCGGGTGGCAGCATTCAGTGCAATATTACGACAAGAAATCGGCTGGTTTGATGATGAAAAGAACAGTGTTGGGACACTTTGTGCCAGACTTTCTGGGGATGCAGCAAGTGTGCAAGGGGTGAGTGAATGGTTAAAAACGTTCTACATTGTAAAGCTGATTTTAATAAGAGCTTTCATATGTTGTACTGACATAATTTGAGTATTCTGTGTGGAAGTCCTAATATCTGCATAGTCTCTCAAGTGTAGAACATTGGGGTTGTTGGGAGCCCAGGATTTACATTTTGTGGTAAGGAAAATTTCAGTTCCTCATTTCAGTATATTCAGTTTTGATAGAAGACAGTAAGTATTTAAACAATTTTATCTAGGCTTTTATCTACATGGGGGCACACGGTAGCGTAGTTGGTTGAGGGGCTATGCTACAAGCCGGAAGGTCACAGGTTCAAGTCCCAATGAGGTCATTGGATTTTTTCAATTGACCTAATCCTTCTGGCCACACTATGGCCCTGGGGTCGACTCAGCCTCTAACAGAAATGAGTACCAGGAATTAATTAATTAATTTTCCTGGGGAGTAAAGCACGGCCAGCATGTAAGGCTGACAACCTTACCACCATCTTTGAAACGACTGTCTAGATAATGTGGGACCCTCACAACACTACGGGCATTCATGGCCTGTTACAGGGATAGCTTTACTTCTTTTTTACTTTTTACTTTTATCTACAGTTATTTTAAAATTTGCCCATGGTCCCTAGACTGAACAAAATCAAACAGTGTCTGTTATGACACATTTTGTGAAACATTAAATTTCAATTCTGTAATAAAATGTAATGGAATGCAATCAGTAGACGTTATACACTTAAAAACAGTTAAAAGCTGCACATGACTAGACAATATTAAGAACGAAGATATTATTTTTACTTTATTTTTACTTTTTTTAATTTTTTACTTTTATCTACAGTTATTTTAAAATTTGCCCATGGTCCCTAGACTGAACAAAATCAAACAGTGTCTGTTATGACACATTCTGTGAAACATTAAATTTCAATTCTGTAATAAAATGTAATGGAATGCAATCAGTAGACGTTATACACTTAAAAACAGTTAAAAGCTGCACATGACTAGACAATATTAAGAACGAAGATATTATTTTTACTTTATTTTTACTTTTTTTAATTTTTTACTTTTATCTACAGTTATTTTAAAATTTGCCCATGGTCCCTAGACTGAACAAAATCAAACAGTGTCTGTTATGACACATTCTGTGAAACATTAAATTTCAATTCTGTAATAAAATGTAATGGAATGCAATCAGTAGACGTTATATACTTAAAAACAGTTAAAAGCTGCACATGACTAGACAATATTAAGAATGAAGATATTAAGAAATAACTGAAAATACAATCAAAACAAAATACAAGGGCTATTAGGAAAGTATTGAAAATTCAAACAATATAAAATACAAGGGCTATTCAGAAAGTACAATCCAGTGAGCTGTTATCAGAACAAAAAAAAATGATAATTTTTTTATTATATATAAAAAGATGTACATATTTAAGCTACTCCTCATCATAGTCACTACCAGAATTGAGGTACTTGTATCGGGAAATAAGTTTTGGTATGCCTCTGTCAAAGAAGCTCAACCACCACACCTTCCATCAACTCATTATTGTTGAAACACTGTGATCGCAACCAGTTCTTCAGGTAAGTAAGCAGCTGTTATTCTCTTGGAATGAGATCAGGGTTGTAAGGAGGGTGGTCAAACAACTCCCAGTTGAAATTCTCTAGCCTGCTCGAGTGCAAGCAACTGTATGCAGACATGAATTGCAATGGAGAAGAACTACATTGGATGTCAGCATTCCATGCCTTTTGTTCTGAATGGCCCTACACAATTTTTTAGTGTTTCGCAATACACTTGTTGTCCCATGTTGCATGAGTTCCCCCACCAGAACTCCCTTCCTGTCCCAGGAAGGGACACAAATGTGTATGCATCCACTGCTTTAACTGCTCTTTGGTTTCAACGTTTCACAACCCAGGTTTCATCACCTCTGACAATTTGATAGAGAAGTTCATCACCATCTTTGTGGTATTACTCTAAAAAGTCCAACCCAAAGGCATTCACTGCGTTTTGTGTGCCCCTGTGAGCATTTTCAGAACCAATCTTACACAAAACATGTGATATCTTAGCATAGCTGTGATAATCTCTTACAGAACATGTGAGAAATTTGTGGAAATTCACATGAAAGTTCCGCAATTCTTTCTTTCTTTCCCCCCCCCCCACACAACTTTGAACAAGATCACTCACTCACTATAGATGGCAAGGTGGCCACTTCGCTCTTCATTGAGAAAAACATTCTACACCATTGTTGTACAGTTGCTTCACTAATTACATATTTCGCCAAATTTACCTGGCTCATATGTATATCCATATTATGTCTAGTATTTACTTCATAGCGATCCCTATTTGTATCAAATATTTCTCTATTTTTACTACAAACATCAGCAGAGAGTATATATACTGTGATCTTAAAGGAAACATATTCATATTCCTAAACTGTTCTCTGCATGACTTTCTGTAGCCACATCCTTTTATTATTCTTATAACTCTCTTTCTATCTTAAAAACTCTTTCTGCATGTGTTGAGTTACCCCAAAACATTACTCCATATGTCATAACAGAATGGAAGTATGAATAATAAACACTTTTTAATGTTTTTACAGACACCACTGGTTTTACATTTCTTATCATATAACAAGCTGTATTTAATTTCTTTATTATCTCATCTACATGTCTATCCCAAGTTATATCATTTTGGATAGTCAGGCCAAGATATTTTATGTGATTGTTGCAGGCCACAGGATCTCGGATTGCAGTAATCTTACAATCAACTTCAACTCTCATAATTGGAATTGTACTATCATTATTCTACTCTTGGAGGGTGACCCTTCTCTCTGCAGTAATGGTTCCAGTTGTGTTTGCAGGAGTATTCTTGGAGGCAAGATTCATGCTTGGACATGGATTAAAAGAGAAAACTGCAATTGAGGCAGCAACAAAGGTACAAGGACACTGGTACTGCCAATTTGTCAATTTGCTTATTATTGCTTATAGAAATGTGTGTTCTAAGTTAGATGAGAAAACAATTATCAGAATGCACTTACCAATAATTATATTGTTGTTGTCATAACTGTCAATTCATAACACCACTATTGTTCTCAAATTCGTCATTTTCTACACATACTCGTACATACATTTATGTATTAATGAAGGATACAATTTAAAAGCAAGACATGAAGGAAGTTATGAAGTTTGAAACTAGAATGAAAATTGTTGTCTTCTTGAATGTGACACATGTAGTCTGGTATATATTTACCAGCATTTCAGAGTAACCTCCTCCCACCATCTTCAGGATGGAAGAGATCAGTGGAACAGGTTCCTCTGAAACATTATTAAATATCTACCGGACTACATGGCATTACATCCTGCAAGACAGTAACTTTTGTAGCCACATCTGTGAAAACCTCAAATCTAACTACATTAAAAGTTTGTCAAATTGAAGTTACAATGGTATAGACAGGTATTATGCATGAACAACATTAAGATGCAATTTAATTTCTACCCACCAACTGTGACTTATCCCTTTAGAACAGCATAATACACTCTTGAGAAGACATGGTACAATGGTAATACACAGGCCGCGCCATAGCTCAGGCGGTTAGTCGCTGGCTTCCCACCATGGTAGCCCTGGTTCGATCCTGGGTCTGGTTAAGTGGGATATGTGGTGGAAAAAGTGGCACAGGGGCGGCCTTTCTCTGAGTACTTCGGTTTCCCCTGCCAATCATCATTCCACCGAATTCTCATCATCATAATCATCTTGGGCAGGTAAAATAGGCCAATCAGTGGCTGCCGGGCCGAGTGGACCCAGTTTTGACTCCACCCCCCACTAAGCGAATTAAAAAAAAATAATGGTAACATATGTGCTCAGTGGGTTAGACAGAGATTATGTTCAGATTGCAGTGGAAGCCATAGGCAACATTCGCACCGTGGCAAGCTTGTGTGGCGAGCAGCTCTTCTTAGATCAATACCTGGTTGAATTGCGTTTAGCACAACAGGCTGCCCGACGTAAAACTGGGCTACGAGGTGCTGTTTTCTCTCTTGGGCAGACAGCATGGTTCTATGGGTATGGACTGAGTCTCTATTATGGTGGATATCTGGTTGCCACTGAGGGTCTACCTTACAAGGATATAATCAAGTAAGCATATAATTTCTACTAAAGCAAAGATCCTCACGTATGTCCATACTGCCATGCAGTCACAGCAGTTCTTGATTCTAGTCATGAGCTAATTTCTCACTTATACAAACAAAAACACAAGCAGTTAGATTTACTTCCTTGTTGAATGCTTATATTTTCTGTATCTTAATGATATGAGCCCATTTAATTTAAATGTGTTTTGACACTTTGCATACCACAAGCCTATTAAATTGACTTAGGGTACTTATATTAAAATTGCCACAGCTGAAGACACTGGCTGGTTGTGAATCAATTATTACAGCATTCCTGTCAATAGATGGTATCAAATGTGATGTACCAATGTTTTGAGGAATGAACAAGTTTCCACATGATCTATACCTGTGTGGCTATTTAAAGGTCATTTGAGGAAACAATGTGGGTTTTTCTGTGCTATTTCCTTCACCCCCATGCACCTTTGGCTTTTCTAGCAGATATTTTTGTGAAAGATTGACAAATAAATAGGTTAAATACCTCATGTTAAAATATTAAGTGTAGCAAGCAACATTTAGCTTCACTGCGTTCTACTGTGTTAGGTGCAGCAAAGTGTAAGGTCTCCTTTTCCAGTCCTCCTGTGTGTGTGTGTGTGTGTGTGTGTGTGTGTGTGTGTGTGTGCATTCACGCATACAATTGCACACACTAAAGAAGAATACAGACCGTTTCGCGACTTTAGGGCATAACTGCAGGAGGTGATTTCCTAGGTCTTTGTGATCAAAAAAGTTCATATAAACATGTGTCCAATTTTGGAGAGTTACAAAGTTATGACCGTTTTAAACTCAGAATAGAAGGTAATGATTACTGACAATAAACGGAACAAAATAATAAACCAGCATAATACATGATACGTTTAAAGTATGAATGTAAAGATAACTTCCTGAAATTACCTTTAATTTGAATTTATTGGTGCTTAAAGCTGATTTTCGAAAATGCCACCACCGGCCGCAACACAGGCTGCCACTCAGTTGTGAACCGTGCCGGACATACCAACCCACCCCACCTTAGGTACCTCTGAAGTGTCGAGATAACGAGAACGCTCTGTCTGTAGCTGGCTAAAAATAGTGACCCACCAGATGATAGACACGGTTCACACAAGGGCGTGTATGGGCATGAAAAAACGGTCATAACTCCATAACCGTCCAAAATCGGACACATGTTTATATGAACTTTTCTGATCACAAAGACCTAGGAAATCACCTCCTGCAGTTATGCCCTAAAGTCATGAAACATCCTGTATACTGACGATAACATTTAGACATAAGAGGGAAAATCAGCATAATAACAAGTTTCATAATTTATCCATTTATGCTAAATAAGAGCATATCAAGGATGTGATGTGGATGAGGCATGTAGAATTCATGGGAGAGAGGATAATTTAATGTAAATTTTAAGATGGGAAACTGAAAGCAAAAACAAAATCAAAGGCAAGGACAGTATTAAAATGGATCTTAGAGAAATAGTATTTGGAAGTGTGGGCTACATTTATCTGACTCATGACAAAGACCAGGGTCTCTCAACTGCTGGGCTGCGGCATCAATTATAACAAAAAGAATTTACTGGGCCGCAGTCTTACAAGGTTGAGAACCACTGATACAGACCAGTTATGAACTCTGGAATCCTATTAAAGGCATGGAAATTCTTGACCAGCAGTTATTAGTTACTGCCTGGTAACATGCCATTTAAGTATAACTGAAGCACAGACAACTACTTGCATACATCCATACCAACGTAGCATGAACACTTCCACTTTTTAAGGCTAAACATAATGTTTCACAAACAGGATATCAGAAGCCCTCATATTTGGAGCATGGATGTTGGGCCAAACACTTGCATTTGTTCCAAACTATAATGCTGCCAAGAGCGCAGCTGGACGGCTATTTTATCTTGTGGACAGGAAGCCTTGTATTTCCTCACCAGATGAGAATGCAAATGAATTGGTAAGTATGTTTGGATCAGAACTTCATATTATTATCTCTATATAAATAAACATATTCTACATACACCATTTTAATTTAAGATATTTTAGTTAACAGTAGAATGTTAAATAGACTTTTTACTTTAAAACTGCTATGTATTTGACATTATGAAAAGTTTCTTTATATTATGAGAATATTGTGAGCTCAGTCAGTATAGTGACTAGGGTACAGGCAAGATGACCAAAGAATCTAGGCTTGATTGTCATCAAAGGGAAAAGTTTTATCTCTTTACCATCACCTCCAGACTGAACTTGGGCCATGTGCCCCAGGCACTCTTTCCTTGAAACTGGGCCATATATGTGGCCACTCAGCTCCATGTAGTGCCAAGGTTAGGAATTTAGAGAGCTGTGCCTTCACACTTCATACACCTTTATGGCATGATGTTGATGGTAGAGATTAAGTTATTTGTACACTAAATTAAACACCGCATCATGAAGATGTATGGGGGAATGTAAGGAAAGCTTCATCATTCTTATCCTCAGCTACAGACAGAGGTGAATGATCAGCTTTGCCTGCATCTGTTACTGTTTAGGAAATAGCCCATGGAATCCATTATAAAGTAGGCTTGATCATCCAGCCCATAGCCTAGTTCCTATAGTGACCAAACTCTCCTGAATTAAACAGGATATTTTATCATTTTTATCTTCACCTTTCATCCAGAAAGCTGCAGGCAGCATTGAATATTCAGAAGTGAAGTTCAAATATCCAACAAGACCTGAAGTGTCTGTCTTGCGAGGACTGGACCTGTTGATAAGTCCAGGACAGATGGTGGCTCTCGTGGGACCTAGTGGATGTGGTAAATCAACTTGCATTCAGTTGCTGCAGCGGTTCTATGAGCCCTCTCTTGGGACTGTGGTGTGTATTCTTCAGACTTACCTAAGTCACATTTTAGTTTGATTCTGAAGACAACAAAATCTGTAACACAGCATTCATGTTAAATCCTTAATGGATTTAATGTAACTGTATGTACTGCCTGTTTTAACATTCAATTTCTCTGTGTTTTGCCCATACTTATGTGTTATTTATGGTTCCCATAAGAAACAGCATTTATTTTATTATATACAAAAAATACATACTTACATACTTAGGCTACTTCTCGACAAAGTCACCAGCGGAATTGAGGCACTTGTGATATTAGAGAGTAAGTTATTTTAAGCCTGTGTCAAAGATGTATGCCGCCTGTGAGCTCAGCCATGTTTTCACACCTTCCATTAACTCCTCATTATTGTTGAAGCACTGTGATCCCAACAAGTTCTTCAGGTAGGTAAACAGGTGGTAGTTTTTCAGTGTGACATCAGGGCTGAGGGTGATCAAACAACTCCCAGTTGAAATACTCCCACAGTGCTTGAGTGTGAGCAGCCCTATGCAGATGCAAATCGTCATAAAGGAGCACTACATTGGGTGTCAGCATTCCACGCCTTTTGTTCTTAATGGTCCTATGCAGTTTTTTTAGTGTTTTGCAATACACTTGTGGTCCCTTGTTGCATGAATTCCACCACCAGCACTCCTTTCTTAGCTTTTCTAATCAGTGTAGTACAACTGGAATTTAACTAATGCTACAACTTTAATTCTTCAGAGTATTCAGGAGAAAAATATAGCTTCAGTGCCACTTGACTGTCTCCGGGCTCAGATGGGTATAGTGTCACAAGAGCCTGTACTCTTTGACCGCACAATTGCTGAGAATATAGCCTATGGTGACAACAGTCGTGAGGTTCCAATGGAAGAGATAATTGAGGCTGCTAAGAAAGCCAACATCCATAGCTTCATTTCTTCACTTCCTTTGGTAAGAACTTAAATTCAGACATTTTATTTCAAGATGGCAGTAAGTACTCAATAGATAGAAACTAATTTTAAAATAGACGTCTGCAAATATGGTGTTGCATACATACTGTGCACCGCAACTTCCAGATTATTAGATGCAACAAGCAAAAAATTTGTTCCCCTTCATAAAGGAGGAGATTGAATCAATATAGTTCCAGTTGCATTTTTATTTTTACTACCTTTTTTTTTTTATTTAATCTATTTGAAAAATGAAGAATTGCCTGATCAGAGGAAGGAGTCTGTTGTTGTACCAGTTCACAAGAAGGGTGATAGAACTGACTGTAGTAATTATTGGGGGATATCACTGCTATCAATTTCATACAAAATTTTTCCAATATTCTACTCTCAAGGTTAAATCCATATATAGATGAAATTATTGGGGTTCACCAGTGTAAGTTTTGATGTAACAAATCTTTTGCAGTCGTCAGATACTAGAGAAAAAATGGGAATACAATGAGACAGTATATCAGCTTTTCATAGACTTCAAGAACGCCTATGATTCAATTTGGAGGGAAGTATTGTACAATATTCTCATAGGTTTTGGAGTACCCATGAAACTATTTAGGCTGACTAAAATGTGTTTAAATGAAACTTATAATAAAGTCCATATTGGTAAATATTTGTCTGATAATTTCCCTATTCGGAATGGTCTAAAACAAGGAGACGCTTTATCACTACCGATTTTCAGCTTTACTTTAGAATATGTAATTAGGAAGGCCCAGGAAAACCAGGTGGGACTGAAATTAAGTAGGACACATCAGCTGTTGGTCAGTGCCGGTGATGTGAATCTACTGGGTCATAATAAAGAATAATAATAATAATAAAGAAAAACATACAAACTTTACTTCATGCAAGTAACGAGGTTGCTGTAGAAGTAAATGAAGAGAAAACTAAGTATATGTTTCTGTCTCATCACCAGAAAGCAAGGAAAATCATGACAGATGTTTTGAAAATGTGGCACAATTCAGATATTTGGGAACGACAGTAACAAATCAAAACTTGATTCAGGAGAAAATCAAGAGCAGACTGAATCTGCATTATGCTTGCTACCATTCAGTACAGAAGCTCTTTCCTTCTTGTCTACTGTCTAAAAATGTAAAAATTAGAATATACAAAACTATGATTTTGCCTTTGGCTCTGTGTGGATGTGAAACTTCGTCTCTCACATTCAGAGAGGAACAGAGACTGAGGGTGTTTGAGAACAGGGTGCTGAGGAGAATATTTGGACCGCTGAGGGATGAAATGGTAGGAGGCTTGAGAAAACTGCATAATGAGGAGATTCATTACTTGTACTCTTTGCCATGTATAATTAGAATGATCAAGTCAAGGAGAATGAGATGATTAAGGAATATAGCATGTATGGGTGGAAAGAGGAATGCATATGGGATGATGATTGGAAAGCCATGGGGAAAAATACCCGTAGGAAGACCTAGATGTAGGCGGGAGGATAATATTAAAATGGATCTTACAGAGATAGGATGGGGTGGTATAGACTGGAGTGATCTGGCTGAGGATAGAGACCAGAGGAGGGTTCTTGTGAACACACTAATGAACCTTTGGGTTCCATAAAATGTTACGAAATTCTTGAGTAGCTGCACAACTGGCAGCTTTTGAGAATGGCTCAGCTCCATGAAGTTAGTTATTTTTTAACAATACTAAATCACAAAATATAGAAACTGTAAATATTAGAAAACAAACCTGTTCTGGACTGCAATGTATTCTACTGAAAAGTCTGTGGTTAAAGAATATTGGTGGAGTAGGGCTCCATGCTGCATGGAATCCTTGTTTAAATTTACTTTCTGCCTCAATTGCTGAGACTCAGGAAATGTGTCATGATATTATGAATTAACACTCTGTACATATCATTAACATTTTACTGTCATTGAAAATTATGGTTTCCCTTGAGAGATCTAAGCCCTACATAAATTAATTCAAATGATAAAACATGTATTTTATGTATAGTTTCTTCCAATGTTTCGTAATTGTTCTTCAGGATAAGCCTACAGGTGAGTCTCATTATATGTAGGGGTTGCATTCATAAAAATCGCAGTGGATATCAGAAATAAATTTAGAAGATTATTGCAAAGACCAGGATCTGGAAGCATGTGCTCTAAAGTTAGACTCTCCTTTTTCTAATATTTGTATACTGACTTTATATAGAGCCCCATCTGGAAACTTTGATCACTTTATAAATAGATTAGAAACCATCCTAAATGTACTGCATAGTTCAAAAGTTGAATTTATAATTTGTGGTGATATAAATATAAACTATCTCATCGACAGTAATAGGAAACTAAATTTAGACTCTTTGTTATCATCTTACAATCTCTCCAGTACTGTTAACTTTCCCACAAGAGTTCAAAATAATTCTAGTTCAGCGATAGATAATATATTCATTGATAACTCAAAATTAAGAGACTATACTGTAGGACCCTTTATAAATGGCTTATCCGATCATGATGCTCAACTCATAGAAATAAATA